TTTTAGCCTAGTGGATACACTGATACATGAAAACTAGGCTGACAAAATATATTTCTGTTGTTATAACTACCTAGAGGGATATTTTTGTAAAAAAAAAAAAAAAAAAAGTAAAAAAAAAAAAAAAAAATCTGCTGAAACACTGCCCCAAAACTTTATAAACAGTCATTTTAGTGTCCCTCCCACCGACAGTGTCACTCAGTGCAGTCTGCACCCCTGCACTTCCCTAGTGATGTCACCTAATTTGACATAAGACAGGATATTGGGCAATCAGTGAGGACACCTTACTTTCCACCCCTGCTGCAGTGACATTCAGTGAAAGAGATGTCTCTGATAGACAAACGGCCTAACGGAGACAGAGGTGGTAAATTCAGGTCTAAGTGTGATGAGTTTGAGGGTTCTGGGGGTACCAGAGTGAGCAAGGGGAACACAACGGAGACAACTGGAATGGGGAAGCCAATCAGAATCCACGTGGGCTTTAGAGTATTCCTCGAGCCCAGCTAACCACAAAAGGGCTGATTGAGGCAACACTTACATTTTTGGGCCTGAATCCTCTGTCCCAGACAGAGCACTGGAAGAGAGAGAAATTAATGAACAATTAATCATCTTGTCTCTAACCCTTATCACAAACCAGCCCAAACTGTAACATGTTGTTGTTTGTTGTTAGTCTCATAGAGACCACAGCATGTGGGACTAGAACGTCTCCACAGGGTCTGCAAGGCTGCAACCTTTTGGAAGTAGATAGCCAGTCCTGTCTTGCAAGGTTCCTCCAAGTGGCTTTGAACTGCCAACCTTTCAGCTAGTAGTAGAGTGCTCAATCATTCTTTGCACCACCCAGAGACTCATAACAATAATGACACATAAAACCCACCACTATTGAGTTGATTCTGACTCATGGTGACTCTATAAGACAGAGTGGAACTGCCCCACAGGGTCTCCAAGGCTGTCATTCTTCACAGAAGAAAAGCCCAAACCACACCCACTGCCGTGGAGTCCATTCTGACCCACAGCGCCCCTAGAGGACAGAGTGGAACTGCACCATGGGGTCTCCCAGGCTGTCATCTTTATGGAAAGTGACTGCTTCATCTTTCTCCCATGGAGCACCTGGTGGGTTTGAACCACCAACCTTTCACTCAGCAGCTGAGTGCCTTAACCATGACCCCAGCAGACCTCCTAATGACAGAGTAAAAAAAAAAAAAGGCTTAACTTCTTCCACAACAAATTCTTCTTTGTCTAATCTTGTCACAACCACTCCAGATAATGGCATACAGGGTAAAAAGGACTTTTCTTTTGACAACAAACATCATTTTGAGAGTCATCCTTAGGCTTAATTTTGCAGCAAGATGTCAGCTCCTCACAGTCTCCTCTGTAGGAATACTGCAACCACCATGGACCCCCACACAGGTTGTCACAGGCTGAATGCAGACAACTGAACCCCAGATGCTTGGATTCGGAAAGGAGCAGAAGTTCAGATATCTGCACAAGAGTCATTTCTTCACTAAGGAAATTAGAATCTCTTTGGCTGAAAGCACTGGGACCTTCTGTGAAGACTGACCCCAATTTTTCCGGGCTTCTCCTCCTGCGAAGAGAGACCCTGGCTCACCTGGCATTCTCCTGTCTTCCCCTCTAATCCACTTTCCTCCCAGGACTCACCGAGGCAGAGGAAGTCAGTTCCGGTGGGGCCGTAAGGCCGCCCCAGCCTTCTGTTGGTGCACATTTGCAGGCAGACAGTCCAACAGCACAGTGATATCCACAGGAGGTTTGAGGTCACAGCCTCTCGTCATGAATTTCTAAATCTATTGCCCCAGAGGAAAGAGGAACAGTTCCTTC